TTGTCGAACGGCACACCTTAAAAATTACAGGCCACAGAGGGATAGGCACGGAAGTACTGAACTGTACAAGAGTTTGTACCAACGTCGAACGCCGCCTCAGAAGAGGTCAATATAAGAAACAGTCTTCCGAGAATTTATTGTTACTTAATTCAGAAGGGACAGTTTTGTGTCAACAGCCGCAATCCAATGACACTTCAAGGTTTCAACGAAGTCCTATGCCTTCGCAAATCCCAAACGCAAATGCCTGTCACTTTTTATGACCACCTTTAAATGATAAAAAGCTTTCCGCTCTAATGCGTAATGAAAAGCTAGATGAAACGTGGGCCACAACGTTCGTTGACTGACAGACATAATAGTGGGGAGAGGGAAGACTTAAATGTACTTCACAGTACTAACGAAGATGCAAGAGAGGGGTGTAAAAGGAGAACAAAAGGAAACAGGAGGATACAAAGGGAACATTCTAACGGCGAATCAAAGGGATCAAACTTACTCAATTAAGTCAAGCACTTTGGAAACTTCCTTGCGAGTAGCGGTATCCAACTCTGAATTGCCAGTGAAGAAAGAATGTTGCCGAAGGAGGGGTGCCGCTTTTGCGATGGCCCTCAATTCAACCACGTAGGTCAGATGAAGGTTTCGCAGACGCGAGAGCGACTGCGGTTCATTGGCCGGGTGGAAACGGCGAAGAAACTCCCTCACATTTGGGCCCCAAACTTGGGAAGTGGCCGCCATGAAGGCGGATGCCCCGCCGAAATCTGTGCCAGAGTCAGAGACAAAAGGGAAGGAGGGGGAATAAATTTAAGAAGACCGACCCTAGAAAATCGCGCACCACCCCCTAGAAACCCCGCTGCACCTAGCAAAACTTACCTACCGAGGATACAGTGCGTACACCTTGACGCATGTCTGGGCCTTCTAGCAAGTACCTGGACTGTTAGTATGGTAAGTTACAAAATCAAAAAGCCATTTGTATTGCATGCGGTTCCTGTTCTCATGTCCTGTTCAGGGGTGGGCATAGAAGTTATCTGTACGGTGGCAGGAGTGCCCGGCTCAGTAATAACATTACCGCCTACGAAGCAGGAATACAGTTGCATATGTATCGTGGAGACACTACACATGCCATTTAGGCCCAATAAGACCTTAGTGTGCACTGTTGCTAATCTCTTCACCACCTATACTACTGATAGGGTAGACAAGTAATCAGGTGGGGCGGCGGCATAACTCCCTAGCATGCCCTACTAGGAGGTAGAAAAAACAAACAAGTTACACGAACAAAAATATGGTCAAGCATGCAAAGTGAATACGCTGGCTGGAATGAATAGGCGTCGACACACCTGATAGGAGATATATGTAGCAGAGTTGCACGGAAATGCTTGATTGAAGTCCTGAGATTAGGCGATAGAAGATGCGCTTTTCCTTGCATGTTCGCGTGTCAACTACGAGGTGGGGAAACAAAGGAGAATACATATATTTAAAAAAATTCAACACTTTTTCGCAGAGCATACGTTCCTTTGTGCTATTTAAATCCGTGTGGGGAAGGCTAATTATCACAATCCGTGTGCTAGGTCCTCGCGTCGGCTGTTTGCATGCTTGCTTGAGTGACGGACGCTTTTGAGAAGAGTTAAGCGTTTATTCAGAATGCGCCTTGTGTCACCTTTTGAACTTAAATGCAGAAAAGAGGAAGATAGGCCAGCCAGCACAGCAGCTTTTGGGTCTACACACAAATGTATCACCTTCTGTTCATCTTAGGGAAGACCCGAAACTCGCACTACCACCATCTCTGGTTTTGAACTTCAAGGTAAGTTAGAAGTCATATGACGAGCCGACGCTATGCAATCCGCAATATCAAGCTTGTATTTAATCAAGTACGCCTTTGGAAAGTTCGATAAAGTGTGCTTTAGTAAGGTCTTCGGGATATTCTGTAAACTAAAATTAGAAGTGGCCTTTCTTTCTTGGAGACCGTGGAATGTCAAAGACCGTATCAGTCTTCAAAGGGTCCATCGACACGCAACCGGGCTTATACTAGGCCAATACCATCTGCCTTACGAGACACGATTAAATGATCCTGACCTGTTTCTTCTGGATCACAGACAGCTAAGCTTCGACCTAATACACGCAGTTTACATGCTGCGGGGTCGGGCTTGTTGTCTTGCATCCGGCGACTTATTTGAGCTAGTTTGAACGGACATCCTCTCAAACACGACATGCGACTGAGGCAAGACTGGACACAATGATTTTTTCTTCACCAACAGAGTAATTCATGCATGGAATGCTCTGCCAACGGATATCGTTATGCCCCATCCGTGGACATGTTTAAGATGAAGCTTGGCCATTTCAGTCATACGCACTACGAGTCAATCAGAACCTAATACATGCATCCCCTTCTACCATCATCCCTGAAAAGTTACAATTTATAAAACATACCACTCTCTATTACTTAGTCGCATTATTTTGTTTCAAAAAATGTTCTATATTTACTAGCGTTTTTTGTTCCGCCATGTTCCTTGAGCCAATAGTCAGTTCATAGGCGTTTGCCTACCTTTCCCTCAATAAAACTAAACTGAACTGAGGATCCAAATTTTAAAAGGAAATTTAGAAAAATCCTGTAACTGCAAAGCACTAAACTTTATCCCTCTTTAATCTTTGGCACGCAAAATAAACTATCCCTGCGGACTGCGTCTGTAAAAATGTTCAAAATATGTCTGCAGTTGTGTAAAGCCTTCTGGTTCACTAGTACGGCAGAATTACAGGATACCCCATTTTCAAAACAGTTTCCAAAGAGGAAATTTCACGGCCAACCGCCGAATAAAGAGATCCAAGGAGTCTGCTCCGAGGAGGCGCACACGTCACACGCAAACGCGCTGATTGGGCATCACTGACTAAGGAGCCTGCGCCCATGTTCAATCGGCTTTCTCACAGCTATACCAACGCGGATCCTATAGACAATCGAAGTCCACACCAGTTACGGGAGGACGAAATTTCATCATATTTATATTTATTTTGAGAGAAGATTCTTTGGGAAACAGGAACAAACTTTACTGTAAATTTTCGACGCTGGCACACCAGGTCATCGTCGGACGTGAGGGAAGAGTGTTAGGAACACTGCATATTTTTAAACATGCCGAAAA